CTAAGACCATCGAGGGTTACAGAACTCCGCACATTGGGGTATCAGATTCATCCAACTCTATCGATTGAGAGAGCTCTGCCGGAAAATAGAGGTCTGCGGGGAAAACTGTTGATGATCAACATAGCTTTACTTTTGATCAGAGAGCAACCTCATTCAGTCAATACGAGGGTAAGTATTTATAACAGTTCAGTCAGAAACTGCATTATTAAAATGCCCTAGCTCATTTTGAGTATTACATTGCTCGGAAGAATTCGGTTTTCTAATTTTTAAAATGAAGTAGAAAACATACAAACCATGCTATTTAAATACTTTCTTTGTGAGTCAGTTCTGCTGTTGAGGACACTAGTCATGCTAACTTAAAATTTTCTCTTGTTTTGATATACTACATCCAAACGACCGCAAGTCGGTGAAGAAAGTCGGACTATCGGCCAAGAATGCAGATTTTATTGATTCGTCTTAAATGTGCAGAATTATTTCAATGGAGAGGACATATCACTGACCGTCCACTTATACATGAATTCGGATACCACTATTTTAACTTTTAGGTGGCCGCTATTGCCTACCCTGAAACATGAAGGCAAATCTGTTTGCCCCAGGCACACTCTCATACTTATCAAACAAAGTTGTTTCTTTACCCGACTATGGAGATTCAAGCTCGTAACACTGAGTTTTATGACAAGACACTGCACCCGTAAGAATTCTAAAACAAAACGATTATTTTAAAAATGTCTCCATAGTACTTGATTTTGATTATGTCAGAAATAACGGATTTTACATTTTGATAGTTAAGCAACGAAACCGTATCGAATACTAACGTTCACTTACCAACCAGAGCCGATGAAATATGTTTAAAGTTCGGAATATGTGTTCATAAAATCATGATATCATCAGTTTTGGCACAAAGTCGCAATTTTTACCTGTGTGTGCTTTGCTTCAGTTTTTAATTCTATCTTATTTAAAAAAGTAGAGAAAAGTATTGATGACAGTGTTCTAAACCAGCAACCCATGGTTAAGAGGAAAGTGTCCCGCGTTGTTTTTCAAAAATTCGAAGGACACAATAATAGCGGAACGAGAAAAAAAAAAGAAATTCCTGTTGATTTGAAAGTTGAGATTTATCAACTATTCAAAGTTCAATTCTTATTCTAAAAATTATTTATTAATTTATTTTTCCATATGTCTGTATCATTTACCAAATGAATTCTCAATGCAAGTAGAAAGAAAAACAATAATCATTGATAATAAGAAAAAATCAGGACTTTGCACCTAGAGGTGCTCTTTTCCACGCTGGTGGCAAAATTTGTATCTCATTAAGAACATTTTTTTAAGAATCCTATAATTTATGATAGCATAGATCCCCTACGTAAGCATAAAAGTATATTTTTGGCGTGTTATATGCTTTTGACGAGCAAAATAATTATGATATAGTGTTACTTCGGTAAAATCAGGAGGTGAAACACAAAGCAAACAAACTCACTGCTTTTAAAATTTGATCCATTGCATTTGATAGATGACTCATTTCTCCACAAATTTTTAACTCAATTTGTTTGTATACATTGCACCTCTTAGTTTGTACCGGTAATATAGAGATGTTGCAGGCAAATAGTAAAATATTCTAGATTGAAATGTATGTTCTTTTTCTAATGTTAGACGAAATAATTCATTCCTCCTACGAGAAAGAATTTTCTGTAAAAATGTACATTATACAATGGTTTTTTTTTAATAATTTCCAGCTGCTGAGGGAAAATTCATAGCTGGAAATTTTCAGCATATCATAAAAAAAAAAAATCGACCGCAAACCGTGCAGGCCGCACTCGTCGTCTTTCACTTTTTAGGGGGAGTTTTTTAGGATTTGGCCGAGATGGTTACCGCCACCTTGAATACAGAATTTTTAAAATTTTGACATTTAAATGTATCAGAAGTATTTGAAGAGGAAGGAACAAGGAGAGTTCGTAGATTTGATGAGTTTTTTCTTCATAATATTGAAAACTCATGAGCTTTTCGTCTTTAATTTACAAAATTTCGGAGACTGTCAAAATTTGACTAGCTGCCAAGGCGTTTGATGAAATGCTTGATTTGACTGATTACCTGCGACAGGGATAATAACTAACTCCATTAACTTGGCCTTTTCATATAATCGACAACCCCAAAAAAATGTAAAATGAAAGTCATGGGATGAATGAACAAGTCATGGTCATCCCCCTCCGCGTGCATTGGCACAGGCTACAGGAGCGTACAGAGAGCTACAACGAGTATTGAAAACCACCAGCTACCGCCATCTATCGTGGCTTTGTTGAACTGCTCCTCGTTATTGCGAGCAGATGGATCTGCAATCTCGCGGGGTTTCTTCGTACTCCAATGGTTATTTTCGCGAATTTACTCTCCCCTATTTCACCCGCAACCGATCGTTATGAATTCCGTACAATTTTGAATTTTTCGTATGTAGTTTGTAATTCAGGAAACCTCGCGATTTGACGACATTTTGCAATTAGCCATTACAATTTTTGGCTTATCTATAAAAAACATTTATGTGCCTAGAGAAACTGATGGTGCGTATGTTGTTTTTAAACTGAGCCAGAAATTTTAGTTCCTAATTGCAAAACGTAGTCCAATCAGTCAGCATCTTACTATTTATTAAAATCCCCGGCTAAAATTGTGAGCGGTATTTTGACCACACCACTAATGTCATGGTTTTTTGCTTATCTCCCGGTAACACTAGGTACTCAACATGAATGTGTGTCCCAAGCCTTTTTTTTAAATTTTTAATTACAGCCCAAAAAAAATAATTTTATAGGGGAGCAACCCGCCATCCACCATACACGCGTCACCGTTGATACATATCATCGTGGGCAACTGTGCGTAGCATTGGCAAGATGCCGCTGTAGGGATTATCTTGATATTTGAAATTGGTGGAGCCGAAGACAACAAAAGAGCAAATCAAAATTGGGAACACAGTTTTCCAGGAAGTTCTAAGTTAGGCGCATAGAGTAACATAAAGATAAAATCGTTAACAAATGGTATGTAATCACAATTAGACTACACTTTACACTATATTGGTACTAGTTCTGAAACACTTTTTCAACTCATATACAACGCGAAGAACAATGAAAGGATTTACGAAGTTGGGTTCGAACCCAACATACAACTATTTTAACTCCGCGGTAGGCCAAATTGCATACGCTAGATTTTGCGGGCGAAATATGAGATCTTATTATTTCCTTCGATGAACTTTATTCTATTTGTTCAATTTTCTTCTTATAATCATGTCATTCTGTCTTCAATTTTTTCCTGAATCATGAGTTTCTCGATGATTCTCATTATGCACGCAGTGACAAAAATCTCCGGGATTCAAAATCTCCATAGTAAAATTGAATTGTCCACGAAATTTTTGCCTGTAGGAAAAGAATTGCTTATGGGATCATGCTCATGACTTTATTTGCTATTTGTCGTAATAATGCACAGCAACCCCAATACATATTCTGTAAATTTTTATAGAGGAATGTTCTCACGATGATATAATTGGGTCGCATTTAGCAAAAAGGAACCGGCGCGATTACAGTGTTGCATAAATGTTGCTTCCTCATAATTATCAAAAATGTCCTCTAGAATAGCAAACAAAATTGTTAATTATATAGGAAAAAATGTTTGTAAATTTTCATACTGTACATATATATTAGTATTTTTAAGAGAAAAGAAGAAATTGCACGAGTTTGAAAACAGTGTAATTGCGCTGACTCCTTTTTGCTAAATGCGATCCAATCATAACTGTAAAAGTATTAATCAGCTTGGATGTTTCATATTTCCATAAAATTAGAAAGTTGCCTAGAGAGTAAGAATATTTTAATGACTTTAATACTGCTCTACAGGGCCGGATTTACTTACATGCCGCCCATGGGCCGCCTGTATTTTTCCGCCCCCTTCTCATTTGTTTTGAAACATCAATAGATCGTATTCGACAGTGGTTCGATGTATCGTTTGGTTCAAAACAACAGAGCATAACCTTAAACAAAAATTTTAGGATTTAATTTGGAGAAGGTGAAAATAAGAAAATTCCTTACAATTTCTTTCACTTTATCTTTATTCTGACACTTTTCATTGCCATTTGGTACTTGAGAGAATAAAAATTCGAGCACATAAGACCTGTTACCTCAGATTTCTAAATTGACTTTTGAAGCTTTGGTTACATATTGAACTAATCGATATCAATATAATCTCGCCGGTATGATCTGTCGAATACGATCTATAAAAACCATTAAGTTTGTAAAATCACATATTACAATTAAAATTAAAATTACAAAATTACAATTAAAATTACATTGTAAAATAATACATTTTTTGTAAAAGCCCTGTCAACACTAACAAAAGTTCAGTACCGTTAACCCATCCCTGTTTGGACAAGGCCTTCCATTTATAAAAAAGAACGAAAAAATTATGAAAGAACAAACATAAATGTGGTTAAAAATTTTAACTTCCACCGCCGCGCCGACCGGCGACCGCACAGTGTTGGCGCAATGCGTGAAGTATTTATGCAGTCTTAGGCGCTATGCGTTTCACGCCAACCGCTGCTGATCACACTGGCGCAATGCGTGAAGTATTCATGTAGCCTTGTAGGCACTGTGAGTTTCAAGCCGACTGTTGCTGATTGCTGGGTTTGACGCAATGCGTGAAGTATTCAGCAAGGGGGAATAAACTGATAAGAAAGTTTTGAATTTTAATGATGGTACACATTCGGCCAAATGGTTTCATCGAGAAATAGATTTTACACGGTTGACCGAGTTTAACTTTCCATTTGTGCCTGATTCTTGTGTTCCTATTTACTCTCTTTTCCTTTCCGAGACCTCTTCATTTACCGGCATTGTTATATTTCTAAGGTGCTTAGGGTCAGATTCAAAATAAGAATGTATTCGTAGAATGAGGGCCAGTTCCTTATTGGACGTTCACACTCGTGTATGCATACTTTATATTTTACCATCAGTCAACTACACTTGAAAAACGTAGAAACATCAAGACCCATCTGGCTTTGTCGCGTTCCCGGGCAAATCTACCTTAAAAAGCACGTAAGGCGTTTGTCTTCGATCCACTCCCAGAGGTCCCTCCCCAGAGTAAATCGACGGGAGCCTATTAAACTGATTCACATTAAAGTACAAAGACCCGTTGGCTGTCAGACTAAACCTAGCCACAAAGTTGATCCGCGTATCGTCGACCACAACCACGAGAAACCCAGTCTTAGGGTCATACATCTGCACAACATTCTGCTCGTTCTGTCCCAGGTAGACGACACCATTCGAATCCGTCGTTACATCGGCAGAGACTCCTATCTGGCCAAGGCTCCTTACCGCCGCGACAATTTCCGTCGCTGGAGTGTTAGGATTCCTCAAGAGGGATGTCGGGACGGAGTATAATGTTCGGCCGAAGGGCGCAACGTAGTACAAAGTCTCGAAGTCGGGAGACAAGGCTACTCCATCGACGCCGTTCGTCAGGAAAGATGCCCCGACGGGTGTCCCGGCAGGACTCGTTACGACCTGGTACAAGGGATAACCGTTGACGAAGGCCACAAAACCAGGAAGAGCCCTGACTGAAAAATCACGCGCCAGGGTTCGCCAGGAGTCGCCGGTGCGCAGATCGACGACGATGATGGCGTTGTCCTGGGTCGGAGTCGAGTCGGAGATGTAGGCTGTGCGACGGAAGGGGTCCACGCGGACGTTACCGAAGAGGGATGTGGGCCTGGCGACATCGGTCGGAAAGACGTAGGTGTCAACGACGGAGTCGTTGTTCGTGTCGATGGACACTAGTTTCGGACCTCCATATGAGGAGTCCAGCGTGACGCCCTCGGATACGACACGACCGGTGTCCAGGACCCACAGGACGTCGAAGATGTCTATGAAGAGGGATATCACACCGAGGAAGTTACTCGAGAGTCCCTTCGTCTTCGGGAACGGTCCCGAGTTATCGACGGCGCCTCCAGATGGGTTGTTGTACTCTTCGTTAGGATAGGGTGTTTCGCCAAAGAGACCCGTCAGTTCGGCGACTGCGTAGACGTTGTTGCTTCCGTTGTTGGTGTTCAGTTCGTCGAGTACCGCAGGGAAGCACGCGAACTTACGACCCGTCGATGAGACTGCAATGCCAACCGGCCATTGTTTTTCGTAGAGGTGGATGACCTCAAGGCTGGGGTCGATGCCTAGCTGATCTGAGCGAATCGTGACCTGGGAGTCATCATTACATGTCACAAAGGCAGAGAGTGTGATCATAATAAACCCGATGGTACTTTTTTCCATCCTGTTAAGTAACCAAAGGATTATTGAGATTAGAGATGTATATGGAGAAGGCGTATGGGAGGAATTTGTTTAATTCATCGGAATAATTGGGGCATAAAAAAAAACTGACTGATATTTAGGTAATCGCTTCAGAGTAAATTACGATTTTAAATACCTAGAAAAAGCTGTATGCTGCTTTGCAACATTTGTGATAAACCATATCTTAATCTATGACTGAATTTGTCCTTCTTTTTCTGAATGTTGTCATTATCAAAGTTCAGCAAGTCTAGAGTTGGCCGTTGAAAAAATATGATCGTAGTTTTAATTGCTATTTCCATGCATCGAAAATTTTTACATGATTAATCTTTTTTTTAAAATTCTCATTAAGCTGATATTTAGAAAAGAGGGATAAAACGAATGGAATAAACCTTTGTGGGAAAACTAAACATTTTTCTTTCATAAGATTTTTTTCTGAGAATCGTTCCGTAACGTGATTGCGCGTAGTCGAAAAGTACAAGCTAAAATTTTGAAAAATAACAGTGAAAAGTTATTATTTCCTCGTCTTCAAATTTTCTAGTACTGTCTAAATAAAATATCGTTCTTATTAACATTCAATCCAGGTAAGCAAAATATTGCCTCGCTTTAAATGAATCAATTAAAAGAATCGTCATTGCCAGTTGCCCGGTTACCATTGGGAAGATAGGTACCTGGCACATGTAGAGTTTGGCTATCACAAAGCGCCTTTCTGGCACTCTGCAACATCCAAACCACTTATGTATATTTGTTTCATACATTTAAGTTGTTTTAGCAAAGCTGGGCCACCTCACGCCTAGAACGACGCATGTATATGTATGTTATAAAAAACAGTTTCTCTTTACTTACTTGAGTTTTATCATGAGCCTTGAGGAGAATGCAACACTGACGAACACATGTGGCATGATGGCTACATTTTTACTGCATGAAGTTTTCAACAAGTTGAATTTTTTTAGTTTTCCTTTCCCTGTTTTTGTGCTCCCAAACAAAGCGATGCATTTATGTAAATGTACTCAGCTCCCAATGACCATGAGATAATCTTTTCTAATCGCACGAGTCGGGCTACGCGGAAAATACGGTTCAGAGCTCATGTCTAGTGATGAGGCAAGCCAAATGATATCACCTAAATTTTTTGGATGCCCCAACCTCGGTCAGATATTGTCTAGTCTTGCGGAGGTAGGGCTGGCCTATCTAAAATCCAGGTGACTTCATCCTAGGAGCTAGGACCCTGTCCAAGAGTCATTTTTCCAGGAGCTCGTCGGCTGCCGACAAGCGGTATATCTTCTCACATGTGTACAACAGTGGTTGATTTGTAATGCCCTTAATTTTATCGAGAAATGTGAATCGTGAACAAGTTTTGGACATGATGGCCACTTAATTTTCTGCGAATCAGACATAGCATCATACCTAATATTTCAACCTTGCATCAACATGAAATGAGTAAAAATACTTAGCCCAAAATTGCTACTTCTTCCTCAATTTATAGGATTTTGTGGCAGCTGAACATGCACCAATGTATGTTGAATACACACTCAAATAACATATCCTGGATGCCTATTTTCACCTCGACTGAATATTACTTGGATAATAAGTATGAATGCACATACGTAAAACTAAATGTAATTTATAAAAGAAAAATTCAAATCAATCACCTCGCATTTTCAAAGATATTTTTATAACAACAGCAGCATTATGACCCAGGCCCTGTGGTCGCATTTCCATATAATTCCGCTCTAAACAGCACGTACGGTTTCTGTCTACGATCCACCCCAAAAACTCCTTGGCCAGGGTAAGTCGCTGGGAGTGAATTCAACTGATTCACAGTGAAGTATAAATATTCGTCAGTCACACTGAACGTATCCGCCCAGTTGATACGCTTATCTCGAACAAACAACATCGTCATACGCGTCGAAGGGTCGTACATCGCCACCCCAGATTGTTCGGCTTGACCCGCGTACACGATACCGTTCGAGTCACACGCCAAACCCGTCGATATCCCTTTCTCCCCAAGATTCCGGACCGACGAAACGATCTCGGAATTCGACGTGTTACGATCACGCAGCAGGGCCGTGGGCACCGAGTACAAGAACCGACCCGCGATCACGGAATAGTAGAGCGTCGTCAAGTCCGGCGACAAGGCAATACCGTCGACCCCTGTCATAACGAAACCCGCACCTACAGCCTCACCGCTCGCGTCCCTAAGGACCTGGTAGAGTGGTTCACCCTGTATAAAAGGGACCGTCCCATAAATACTAAGCACGGAGCCGTCGCGTTCTAGTCTTCTCCAGGACTCGCCGGTGTTCAAGTCCAGGACGACGATGGCGTTGTCCGAGGCGTCGTAGCTCGTGTCCGTGATGTACGCGAACCCACGGTCGGTATCAAAGCGCACGTCGTCGAAGTACGAGGTCGGTTTGGCGATAGTCGGCGGGAACAGGAAGGTTTGGATGATGGTGTTGGTTTCCAGGTCGATGGAAATCAGTTTCGTGCCGCCGGGTGACGCCTGGAGCAGCAGCGCCTCGAAGAGCACCCGACCGGTGTCCAGGATCCAGAGGACGCCGCGGGCGTCGATGACCACGGCTTGGACGCTGAGGAAGTAGTTCGAGTGGCCTTTCGTTGTGGGTGGGTTGGTTGTGGTGTCAACGGCACCTCCGGGTGGGTTGTTGATGGCCTCGTTCGGATACGGTGTCTCGGTGTCGAAGTCGAGGAGCTCTGCCACCTGGAAGACGTTGTTGCTGCCGTTGTTGGTGTTCAGCTCGTCGAGGCCTGCTGGAAAGCAGGAGAACTTCCGACCGGACCTGGACACTGCGATACCCACAGGCCATTGGCCTTCGTAAAGATGAGCAATCTGGAGCTTGTTGTCGTAGCCTAACTGGTCCTGGATGATGTTCCGGTCGTTCGTAGTTATCACCAATGCGGGCATCAAGCATACCATGGCGATGAATATGATTTTATCCATGATGTAGTATCGATATCTGTACAAAAGAAATTTCGAATCAAGAGGGTTGAATGGAAAAAACTTCAATTACAATAATTGGACTACATTGGTATGGACGCAGAGTTACCGGAAGTTTATTGATTTCTTATCAGAGAAGCTAGCCAAACAGGGATACGACCCCAGTCAAACAGGTAGAGGAAATAGATAGACGGACTACTTTTAAATATTTTTTCACTATTTGGGGGGGCTTTAAATGTATAAAATCGAAAAATTTTGCGGCTGAATCTGAATTCCGGACTGATACATTGCAGCTTTTGTCAGCTTGACCATTATTTCCGTCTTTAGTTGGCCATATTTTTTGGATACAGCCACTAATTTTTACTGTTTATCTGCGAGTCACACATGAAAAGTTAACGAGTTAACGGATGATAAATTGAGGTTGGAACATTAAAAAAATCGATCAAATAGGGAAGCCTGCAAAATAAGCATCCTTGTTGTTACTGCATCTTTAAATATTTTAAAAAAAATAAAATAAAACTGTTCTCTTAGTTGGTGTAGAAAATTACAGCAAAAACTCTTTTGCTTGAGTCGTTGTCGAATCAGCATTGTTTTCTATCAATTTCATTTTTCTCAAAAAGAAAATAAAAATGCAAAAATCTGTCATGAAAATTTGGGTGTATAGGGGTATAAAGATCGACTTTTTATGGCTTGTTCTGAAATAATGACATAAACAGACCCCTACTCTGGCTCTATCACCATGAGCTATCTGGGTATAATTGTGTTGATAAATTTTACATCACATACTCGTGCTTTCCAAAATTAAACGAGTCTCACTTAAAATTGGCAATTCTAAAATAAAAATTGCAGCAGATTAGCAGATAATCATCCATGTTTACAGGAGTATATAAGAGGAGGATGAATATTGAATATTCAAAGATGAGAGAATTGCCGGAACGATTCAACCTGAAATCCTTTAAAAACCAGCACGGCTACTTCGGCCGCTATAAACATGCTGAGACAATACGGTAAAATAATATACAAACAATGTAAATCAGACAGAAACTGCACAGGAACTTACTAAGACAAATATTGGTAGCCTCAATCACGCACAGCTTCGACTTATAACTAAACAAAAAGATTCAGTTTTAGCAAAGACGATCCATTACGAGACTGCGATTTTCCTCTTGCTTCTTTCCTGCTTCACACTATTGAGATAGAGCACGTTAAACTGCTAAAAGTATTTTGGTATCATGCTTTACATTAATGAGTATTGTTTAGTTCGCATATTCGTCCATTTTAGTGACATCAGCTTCGAATGAGTTTCGTTACTTTGCTTACTAAGGTAATCACTTAACTTTAAGTTTCGGCCACATTGTGCCAGCATTTTTTAAGTTCTCACACACTTCTTTTTACATCCAAAATGTTAAATCGACTTCACTTTTTTTTCGGTGTGTGTCAGTGACACATTGATCAGAATATAATGAATTGTCGTTCTCTAAAGAGAATTATTAACACCAGATGCTCTTAAGTTTACTAACGTTACCCGAACTCTAAGCGAATTTTAAAATGCAGTGCACTAAAGTTCAGTTTAAAAGTTGTGTCATTCCATCTTTTTGAGACTCTTATTATAAAGATGTTGAAACTCGGAATTCTCTCTGTTATCTAATTCAATTGTATTTTGCAATATTCACTCACAGTGCTGGCAAGTCTTGTGGATCAATTAATGAGTTACCCGTCAAAATCCCTTCTCGGGTGAATTGGAAACACCGGGCTGGACCGTGGGTTGCTGCTCAATTTGGGGGAGCTTTTGGGAGGACCAACGGAGAGGGCGTCCAAATCCGGAGACCCGAGCAGCCATTAACAAGGCACTAATAGGTGGGGGAGCAGCTCAACTACCCTAATAGGGTTTATCCACGGGTGTTTGCCTGGCGGGCTCGCGGGTGTCAGGACCAATTAGAACGATCAAAAACGTGTGCGTGCAATCGTCTGGCCCCCAAAACCTCCCCTTCTTCAGCCGCCTCTCAGCTATAAGGCTCTGTAGAGCTTTTCTGCCAGGGGTTTTCCTCAGGTTGTTGCCAGATTGGAGATCGTGTTGTGAAGCCTACACGGAGAAAAAAACCACGGTTATTCGACGGTTACCACGGTAATAATCTCACACGGGATTCCACGGTAGTGGAACCGTGGATTTTGGTAATATTATTGATGAGCACAGTGGCATTAACCATGGTCATAATAGTATGTCTGTTTCCATAGTAATATTACGGTGAATCGGTCATATCACCGTGTTGGTTCTACTAGTGGAATCCCGTGTGAAATAACTACCGTTGTGACGGTAGAATAACTGTGTCTTTTTTCTCGGTGTACGGTCGAAGTTGAAAGTTTAATCGAGTAACGAGTTAATAGAATCTGCTTACGAACAGACATATTTGAATCCAGATTGGATGCTCGTACTCGTTTGGTTTTCCACAATCCCCTATCTTTAATGGTGGGACGATTAAGATAGTTTAGCTAATTTAAACCAGAATTTTAGGAAAAGTAAAAAAGTAGTCATACAGTTACTTACGAGCATTCTGGCTTTCTTTGTTATTGGTATTCATGGCAAACGCGTTTCACCCCCCATATGGGGCTTCTTCAATGCCGATATTGTAACTTACACTTAATCAAATTGTGCGGTGCGAGCTCGCAGAGCAGTCTATTTTTATTTATTCTAATTGTTTCTTTTTAAAAATGTGATACAAACTTTTGAAATATGCTCAGTTTCGCGAGGGTCATCGGTGGATTTTTTTTTTAGCACTTTTAGTGATTTAGTGTAAGTTATAATGTCGGCACTGAAGAAGACCCACATAAGGGGGGTGAAACGCGTTTGCATTGAATTTTAGTTACAAATAAAGCCAGAATGCTCGTAAGTGACTGTATGATTACTATTATACTATCGAATTCAACGCTTAAAAAAGTAGTGTTCCATAATCCAACCGTTCTCTCAACGTTTGATGACTGCAATAAAATGAGAAACAATCTATGAACCAATTGAAATTTTGCTTTGAAACTGCTTAAGGTGCATGACCATCATGAAAATGTTGGCAAAATCAGTTTGGATTTGACTATTTTCGAGTCAATTTCTTTATACAAAAAAATACTATTTCTTGAAAATATCATTTGTTGCTCGGATATTAAATTACTGCGCTGCCGAAGTAAAAAATTACACCTCACACAAGTGTGATTAAATATACTCTTTAGTGATACATTATAATTATGTATGAAAGTTTTGTTTTCGCGGAAATCATTCAATAGTAGACGGTTGAAGCCAAGGATTGGTTCAATGCCATGGAGAATGAAATTCCAATTTTGGACCCTCATTCTTTTTACGGCTAACGCAACCGGTTTTGATTTAATCTTCACCGACGTAAATGTATTGTTGTATCAGATTCGGTCTGAGCTTCCTTTTTTCCACATTTTCATTAGAACACTACTTTTCAACAAGTAAGGCGTGTAAATTTATCCTCACTGGAACACATTGTATCCAGAGTCCAAACTCTTAAAAACATTGACAAGAAAAAATACTCTTGATTCAATCGGATTTTTGCTTAAATCAAGAACCAAGCCTCTTAATTTGAGCGGATTTCCTTTTGATTTAAGCAAAAATCTGATTGAATCAAGAGTATTTTTTCTTGTCAATGTTTTCAAGAGTCTGGACTCTAAATCCAATGTGTTTTTTCTCCAGTGTCCTCAAAAAGATGGGTTTTGCTTCAGTCTATGCATTCCCTTTTTTCCTTATCAATGCAAATCTGACTCACAAATTAATTGACGATTTGGTCATACGATTATTTATAAAGCAGAATAAAAAGCACGGTAATATGGCCACTAGAACATTGCCGATATTTGTTCCGAAGGAAATTACATATCAGATTTCTGTCGCACTGAATTTGAGTATACGCGTAAAAATAACTTTGGGAAAAAAGTTAAAAACCGAGGCCAGACTACGTCTTATCTGCATTCGATTGTTTTGCTCACGCAGTCATTGAGACATCACCACAAATGGGACAAACGGAACCAACAGAACATGAAATTAGAGCTTAGGAAACGACGAGTGTTGGCGACGGCGCAGGGATACAACTATTCGTGTTTGATGGATGTCTGCGTTGCGTCTGCGAAATTGAAGGCGCGATGGCGCTAGGCGTGAACTCTAATCGCTCCGCTCTTTGCTGCCAATGAGATGTCGCTCAGATCCGGGAGAAAAGTTAAAAATTGCGGACCGATTCTGCTTTTCCTATCCTCGGCTGTCTTGGTCTTGCTAACGTAACTCTAGAAGCACCACTACTAGTAAAAAGAACGGAAAGAAACAGCGTCTGGAAATAGAGCATGGGAAACGACGCGCTTCGTTAACGGCGCAGAGATACAACTATTCGTGCTTGATGGATGTCCGCGTTGCGTCTGCGAAATTGAAGACGCGATGGCGCGAGGCGTGAACTCGCAATGCTCTGCTCCATCCCGGTAATGAGATGTCGCTCGGATTTGGGAGAAAATTTAAAAACAACTATGACCTACTACAACTCTCCTATTTGTTGATGTTACTGTAACTATATTTTTTTCAATGTTATGCCTGAATCTTTTTTTGGGAGTAAGTGTAGAAGCACATTTAGCATTAAAAAGCTCGTACATATTGACTCCAGGACTCTTCCAGAAGAGATAGGTATGGCTCGACTTGAGATTTATAGGAGTAGTTGTCGAAAAAAAATTATCTGAAACTCAATTTTTTTAAATTTGATGTCTGATCATATTCTTATGATGTATTTATAAACCTATATTTAATGCTCGTTTGTGCCAATTCCATGTAAATCGGGAGGCACGTTTGTTAGCAAACCCCGGGTCATTTTGACGCAGGTTGGGCATTTAAGAGTTAAATACCGCAGACGAGGTTCGACTGGCAGACATGGTCTTGTAGTTTTACCGTCGGAATGTGAATTCAGATTGGCATGTTTACTTATTTATGAAGAAGTTCATGAATTGATTTTTACAGTCGT